TTCAGAGTTAATTAGCAATAAAACTTGTTTCTTTATCTCCATCTGTTTCCTCCAACCTATAAATCAACAATATGCATTTTGTATTAGATGCACATTCTTTTTTAAATTCCTTTCCACTCATCTATCTCTTTCTGACAACTGTCACACCTCTTCATGCTCTGAGAATTTTCATGGAACAATGTCTACAATTACATCCTGATGAGAATGGATGTCCTGGCTTTGGCAATGGGTCAAATAAGAGCTCACAAATGTAGAAATTGATTAATGAACATTCTTATATTTTAGAAGAGTGTTTCCAAACACCATTGCAGGCGATATTTTTTAAATGCCTTTCTCTTAAACATACATATATATATCCATATACATTTCAGACCCAGTCAGTTCTCTTCATGAATATTTTTCACCTAAATAAAGGATACACATTTCCATATTTCATTATTTGTTAGATGTCTCTTGGTAACAGGAAGTTAAAGATTATAGGGACACTATGTTGACTAAATAGAAACCCCAGACCAAATCCAAAATACCACAGCTTACACTAACCAGTGCACAATGACTCCATCCTAGTGATGTTATGATCTATGTGGGTTATGTCATGATCTGTAAATACCACTCTGTGACACAGCGTAATTTTATAGGGCAAGGAAGTTGCTTTGTAACCCATATTTTAGGTCTTAAATCACATTTCAACCAGAAAAATGAGGAAAAAATCTCAGTGTAGATATACATAACAGTGGTTGTGAATAAAATACATTCTAATTGTTTGACTTGTATTTCAACTTTACAGATTTTTTAAGTTACAAAGCTACAAATTCTTTGATGTTCAGTTATCTGCAGTGATGAACAAATGTGTGTGTTCTGAGTGCACCTACCAAACATTTCTCCTTCTCATTCCCTTACCTGGGACCATCCTACTCCCTGTGACAAAACAATATTGAATTTAGGCCAATTAACAACTCTAAAATGACCTCTAAGTTTCATGTGAAAGGAAGAGTTGCATGTCTCTTACTTCAATCAAAAACTAGACATGATTAAACTTAGTGAGGAAGGCATGTTGAAAGCTGAGCTAGGCATAAAGTTAGGCTTCTTGTGTCAAACAGTGAGCCAAATTGCTAATGCAAGGGAAAAAGTTTTTGAAGAAAATTAAAAGTGCTATTTCAGTGAACATATGAATAATAAGAAGGCAAAACAGCTTTATTGCTGATATGGAGAAAGTTTTAGTGGTCTGGATGATTAAACCAGCCACAACACAACATTCCCTTAAGCCAAAGACTAATCCAGAACAAGGCCCTAACTCTTTTCAATTCCATGAAGGCTGACAGAGATGTGAAAGCTGCAAAAGAAAAGTCTGAAGCTAGAATAGGTTGGTTCATGAGGCTTAAGAAAAGAAGCCATCTCTGTAATATAAAAGTTCAAAGCAAAGCAGCAAGTGCTGATGGAGAAGCTGCAGCATATTATCCAGAAGATCTAGCTGAGATGATAGATGAAGGTGACTACACTAAACAACAGATTTTCAATGTAGACAAGACAGCCATCAAGTGGTAGATGCCATCTACGGTGTTCACAGCTGGAAAGGAGCAGTCAATGCCTGGCTTCAAAGCTTCAAAGGATAGGCTGACTCTTGTCTATGGACTAATGTAGTTGGTCACTTTAAGTTGAAGCAGTGCTCATTTACCATTCTGAAAAACTTAAGGCCCATAAGAATTATGCTAAATCTACCCTGTTTGTACTCTATAAATAAAAGAACAAAGTCCAGATTAAAACACGTCTGTTTATAGATAGCATGGTTTACTGAATATTTTAAGTCCACCAGGAAAAAAAAAAAAAAAGATTCTATCCAAAATGTTACTACTCACATAGGCAGTGAGCAAAGCTCACACCAGAACAATAACAATGAAATGAATTCAACCTAAGCGTCCATCAATGGATGACTGGATAAAGAAAATACTGTATATATACATAATCAAATACTATTCAGGAACAAAAAAGAACAAAATAATGACTTTTGCAGCAATATGGATAAAACTGAAGACATTACCCTGAATGAAATCACTCAGACACAGAAAGTCAAATACTTAATGTTCTCACTTAAAAGAGGGAGCTAGATGATGTGTACACATGGACGTAGAGTATGGAATGATAGACAGTGGAGACTTGAAAGGTTGCAAGGGGGCTAGGAAGTAGGTGAATAATGAGAAATTACTTAATGGATACAATGTATATTATTCCAGTGATGGATATCCTAAAAGCCCTGACTTGGCTACTATACAATCTATCCATGGATCAAAATTACATATGTACCACATAAATTCATACAAATAAATTTTTTAAATTACTGCTCACTGACAATGCACCTAGTCAACCAAGAGCTATGATATAGATGTACATGAAGATGAATGTTGTTTGCAGGCCTGCTAACATTACATCCATCTTGCAATCCATGGATCAAAGAGAAATTCTGACTTTCAATTGTTATTATTTAAGAAATACTTTTCATAAGGCTATAGCTACCATAGACAGTGATGCCTCTGGTAGATCTGGGCAATGTAAATTTAAAAACATCCTGAAAATTATTCACCTTCTAGGTGCTATTAAGAACATCATGACTCATGGGAGGAAGTCATATTACCAAAATTAATAAGAGTTTAGAAGAAGTTTATTTGAGCCCTCATGGTTAACTTTGAGGGGTCCATGACTTCAGTGGAGGAAGCAACTACAGACATAGTGTAAATAGAGAACTAGAATTACAAGTGGAGCCTGAATATATGATTGAATTGCTGCAATCTCATGATATATTTGAATAAATGAAAAGTTGCTTATTATGGAGGAGCAAAAAAAAAAAAAAAAAAAGTAGTTTTTTCTTTTGTTTTTTGTTTGTCTGTTTTTGGAGTTTCACTCTGTTGCCCAGGCTGGAGTACAGTGGCACAATCTCAGCTCACTGCAACCTCCACCTCCTGAGTTCAAGCAATTCTCCCACCTCAGCCTCCCAAATAGCTGGAACTACAGGCGAGGGCCACCACACCTGGCTAATTTTTATACTTTTAGTAGAGATCGGGTTTCACCATGTTGGCCAGGCTGGTCTTGAACTCCTGTCCTCAAGTGATCCACCTGCCTCAGCTTCCCAAAGTACTAGGATTACAGGAAGAAAGTAGTTTTTTTTAGATAAAATCTACTCCTAGTAAAGAAGCTATGAAAATGCTGAAATGACAACAAAAGATTTAGGATACCATATAAATTTTCTTGATAACACAACAGCAGGGTTTGAGAGGATTGAGTTCAATTTTTAGAGAAGTTATGCTGTGGGTAAAATGCCATCAAACAGCATCACAATCTACAGAGAAATCTTTTGTAAAAGGAAGAGCCAATTGATGCAATAAACTTCATGGTTTTATTCTAAGAAATTGCCACAGGTGCCCCAACCTTTAACAACCACCTTCCTAATCAGTCAGCAACCATCAACATCGAGGAAAGATCCCCTACCAGCAAAAAGTTTATGACTTGCTGAAGGCACAGATGATTGTAAACATTTTTAACAATAAAGTATATTTTAATTAACAGATGTACATAGTATTTCTAGACATATCTAGGCTACTGCAAACTTAAAAGGCTATAGAATACTGTTAAATTTACTTTTATATGCACTGAGAAACTAAAAGAAAGTGTGACAGCTTTATTGCAGTATTGACTTTATTGCGGTGGCCTAGAATCAAACCCACAATATTTCTGAGGTATTCCTGTAGCTGCAAATAGATAACCACCTGGGAAACTACTATGACTACCCTAGCAAGCAAAGGCATTAGGCAAACTGTAAGCCTAAGAGGCAGAAAACCAGGCATCATCAGCCTCTGCCAACAGCCACTGTAAGTAAAAATGCAAATAGGTGTGCATCAATTATTTTGGGCACATTCATGCTCCTGGTCAACATGCACATATAGACCAAAGTATGCATTCAAGGCTGATTAGGCACATGTATGTCTTTGTGTATGTTATCAGGAGATTGCAAGTTTATTGCTAAAAATTAAGCCTGGATTAAAAGTTGAAACAATGCACAAGCAATATAATTAGGATTTTATATTTATTTTTGTGATCATAATTAAGTGAGTATTACCAAAGCTAAGTATTCGAGGGAAAATAATTTCCCCAGAAAGCAAAGTTTATGAATACTTGAAAAAACTCTTAAAGAAATCAAAGAATTTGGCATAGTGATTAGATGAAAGATGTATAAACCAAATTCTATTCCTTTAAGTTGATGGCGTTTCTTTTCTATTTCAGATATTAGTTTATTTATTCTTTAGCCTTTTGCACACTAACTACTAAAGAGAGCTAAACACTCATAGAGGAGGCCCCAAGATGCCACAGGAATGATCAAGATTCAGCATGTATCAGTCTTTAGGGAAGGAAATGTGTTATAAGAGGCCTGGTATTTCCTTAACCTTCAGGAAGATGAAGGCATATTCCTTCAGCAAGTACGTATGCTTGGGGCATCTATGAGAAGGAAAGGTCTGCTTCATATAACAAAGCATCAGAAGATTTCACTTCCCCAGTTTTCAATATGATAAATAAGAATATATAGAGATTGTTAAAAACCGTATCTAGCCTGTGGTTATTTTGAAAATGACTTGCTACAATATAAATGAATCCTTGCATTTAAAGGACAGTAAATAGTAAACCAGATGAAGTATCACCGACGAAATGCTGTCCCTGTTGATACAGCATCAAGCAAAAAGAATCAGACATAGATGCACACAGCCTGTTGATTGCACTGTGCAGCAGCTCCTCAGTCAAAGTTGGGTTGCAATTAAAAGTAAGTCTTTCTTCTATGACCCAGCTTCAAGGAGTCTGAGACATTATACTGCAGAAGATGTCTTAGTTAGTTAGGGTAAGTTATTTAGGATTTTCAGAAACCTTAAGAAAGATTACATTTTATTTTTGCCTTCCCAAATCTCTCCCAGCACTATACCCACTGCCTTATCAAAACCCAGTGAACCCCTTTTGCTTACTTGGGATAATTTCTAGATTGAATGAAGGGCAGAATTTCGGAGTCTTGACTAGATGGAGGCAGTAGTAAATCTCGAAATCGCTCTGTCAAAAGAAAAATAAACATCAAGCTGTGAAAAGATAAAAGTCATGAAAATAATTTCAAAATGGAAGTATTTCCTATTGGTTTATTTTGTTAGCCATTTTGACTGTATATCTATCCTTTATTAGAAATTTACCCACCATTTTATGTATTACTAATATATATATATAGTGTATGTGTGCATGTGTATATATCTATATATGGATAGATTATAATATTTTAATCATAAATATATATGTAGCCATTAAGGATAAATAGGTATAGATATATAGATAACACATATTCATATATTTATTTTAAATATATAAAATTAAGCCTGGATTAATATTTGAAATAGTTACATTTATCCTATAAATATATATAATATATACATTTCACACATACATATTTCTCATATATAAATATAAAAATATATATTTTTTTCCTTAATGGCAACATATATCTTTATGATCAAATCTTATCATTGAAAGGTTAGGGAAAACATACATGACCAATCAACATATTAAGAGATGCATAGTCTCATTAGTAACCTGTGCCATGTGAATCAAAACCAGACACCATTAACTAGCATTTATGTCATGTAGCATTCAATTGACAGAAATTAGTCTCCCAAAACCAAGTGTTGGAGAGGATGTTGATCAACCTAAGCTCTTATATGCTGCTGGTGGGAGTCCAAATTGGTACAATAGCTTTTGAAGACAATTTGGCATTATCATTTAAGTTTTACTTTTGTATAGTCTGTGGTCCAATATTTCCACTTTCAGGGATACACCCTGCAGAAACTTTCACATGTGTCTTAGCAAGTATGAGAATGTTCACAGTAGCACCGCTCATAGAACAACATAAATGGAAGCAGCTCAGTTGCTCACTGACATGGCAGAATGGACGTTTGTGCTTATTCACAAAATGAAGTATTAACTGAAGTGAAACTGAATGATTTCAGTTACAAATAAAAACATAATGAATCATATTAATATAATGTTGAGTGAAATAAAATCCCAGCAGATTACATATAACAGAATAGAATTTTTATTGAGTTAAAAAAAAACTAAGCAATGTATTATTTAGGTATGATATATATGAAATAAAACAAACCAATTAAAAAAGAAGGACATGCACAATTCAGAATAATGATTATCTTTTAGGAAAGGTAGGGGAATGAAATAGGAGAGAAGCAAAAGGGTAAACCTAAGTAACTGTTAGTGTTTCATATGTAGTAATTGTCATATCATAAATGAATAAATGAATGAAGGAATGACAGCCAGGAAAAGACCAATAATTACTGCATATCCTGAGCTAAGAATTGATTTAGTAAACTTCGGTGCATATGAATTCATAATGAAGAAAAGAGAGAAAATAGGAGGGAGGGGGGAAGAGGAAGGGAGAAAGAAAAGGAAAAAAACAAAGAAGGACAAAGGAAAAAATCCTAGATGTTACCTTGGAAATACTTACGCTGCATAGCTATCTGCATGGCATAGAGTATGCACATTTTCAGGAATAGATGTGCATTACCTCTAGAGTTATATCTATGGAAAGGCTTCCTTGATCCCTCCATTACTTTTTTGTTCTCTCCTCCTGCCCTATTTGGAATAGGCTTGACCGACTGTGTACTCCCCGTACACCTTGTGATTCCACTTTCACAGAATTTATCACACTATGTTTTATTGTTATATGTATTTATCTCTCTATCCCTCTTTCTTCTAGTAGATAAGTATTGTGCCACCAAGGTACAGAACATTATCTGACACATAATTAAGGTGCTGGATAAATACTTGTTGAAGACATATTTCCAACATCTATTTTTACTGGACAGAGAAAAGTGTTTGTTAAGGTTAATCATAATAACTCCCAGAGGAGACCAAATGGTCATACATCAACCATGAACAGCAAATGGATCCATACTCCCATCTTGACACAGTCGCACAATCAGGCTGAGATAGTATGCAAAGCTAACACTCCCCTGCTGCAGTAAATCCATCACTAACTGAAGGTGAGCCTTTCCACAAAATAATGAAAATATACACCTGATGACCATTGCCATTTCCTAGTTTACAGATAGTTAGATGTTAAATTATTTGGAATACGGCAGACACAAAGTGGCCTTTGCTTACTGAGAAGCAGAATGTATATTTTATCTTCATATTTATTAAAACATACTGAATCAGAGATACATAACTGGCTTCTACTGTTTTTTCCCCCTCTCAAAATTCTGACATTTCTTACAATATAGGTGAAAAGGAACGAATGAGATCCAAACACAGATGTGCTTATACTCTGAAGTCTAGAAATCCCAAAAAAAACTATGTGTTTTTCTCCAATTATACTCTTTAATATTAGTTCATATTTTTAAATATTAAATTATATTATTGGCTGGTATTTTGGGCTGATCTTACTATTTTTAATTTTTAAAATTAACATTTCTTTCAATCAAATGACTAGTAAACTTTCTGATGATAATAACTCTTGGTTTTCAGTCTACTTGCCAATTTATGGGGTACTCATTAAATGAGTAATGTGTAATGCTTTATCTTTTCAATTTTTTTCCCACTGAGACTTTTCCTAAAATGGGTCTTGAAAAATCAAGCCCAAACCCAACAGCAAACAAGAACTTTACATATCAAGTAAAGAACTGTTAAATCAAACAGCTATATGTGTTATGATATTCCTTGAAAACCAATGGTATAAATTAAAGTTTAATGAATTTCTCCCAAACTTGTTAAAAGGAAACAAAAATCAGAATTCTTAGTGCACACAACTATAATATAAGACATCCTTTTCACAACAATAAGTTTTTCTCTTTTTACATAACCGTAATGGACATATGACTATAATTCTGGAGAAAAGAATCTCTGCAGATGACATATTGACAGGACTAAAAACACATACACAGATGCACACGTGTGCATGCATACACACACAGAGCAAAAGCAGCATAAAAGACGTCACTTATAAAGCTATAAGGAAATCTATAACGAATGTTCCTATATTTGGAACATCCTTTATTCAGATTATCATAAATACAAAGAATATCAAGCAAACATATCTTGAATAGCTATCATGGTTGTCAAAAAGAGTTCATAGAAAGGGCATGGTGGCTCACGCCTATAATCCCAGCACTTTGGGAGGCTGAGGCAGGTGGATCACCTGAGGTCAAGAGTTTGAGACCAGCCTGACCAACATGATGAAACTCTGTCTCTACTAAAAATACAAAAAGTTAGCCGGGCGTAGTGGTGGGTGCCTGCAATCCCAGCTACTCAGGAGGCTGAGGCAGGAGAATCACTTGAACCTGGGAGGTAGAGGTTGCAGTGAGTTGAGGTCATGCCATTGCACTCCAGCCTGGGCAAGGTGAATGTAACTTAATCTCAAAAAGACAAAGAAAAGAAAAGAAAAGAAAAAAAAAGAAAAGAAAGGGTTCATATATACATACACAGAAAATATATGCAGTACTTTAAAAGCATGTCTTTAAAAAATTTAATTTTTATCATATTAATAAATTATTAAAAGGGAACGATTAATTTTATCTCATAAAGGCATATTGATTATTCACTTATTTCTTTATAAAAATAGATAAATGATAACAATCTATCCTTAGCAAAGTTCAAGTAAATGGAAAAATTATTTATAATTATTTAGTCCTTTAGTCTCACAGATTTTTGCCTATCGATTATTTAATTAGCATCCTATTATCTATTTGATTCTGAGGAAAAGGCCAAAATAATTTGATGCTTTATTTGTTAAGTAAAAAAAAAAAAAAAAATGTCAAACCAGAAGATCTACTTTCTTAGCAGGCTCAAATTGTTTAAGAAAATGGCACAGTTATCCAAATACTACAGCTCAAGCGTTTCACAGGACTTCTTAGAAGAAATTCATTAAAGCCACTGGGGAAAAAAAAAAAAAAAAACTTTTCTGCAAAGTGGTACTGTGATGAGCTGACTAACGATGTGATAACGTCTGAACATGATTTTCTACCAGTAGGAGATACATCTTAATTAATACAAGCTTTTGTAGACTTTCACCCACTCTTCCTTTCTCCCATTCAATCAACAAAAAGATTATGAGGCTGTTAGACCTGGATGACATACTGCACACAGTTACATTACTTTGCATTTTCTGGCTAATCAACTGTGACACAATATGCGTAATTATTTGAAAACAAAAATGAGAAAAATAAAATACTCTTTCCAATTCTAATCGAAACTTTTTTGTACAGCTTTTTGTGGCCAAGGTGTTTCATGTTCTCCTTTGCAGAAAATGACCAATCTCTAATCCACCCCAATATGCAGAATAGACCAAATGCAATAAGGATTTACATAACAATAAAAAGCAGTAGGGTTTTTTTTTTTCTTTTTTTTTTTTTGAGATGGAGTCTTGCTCTGTCACCCTGGCTGGAGTGCAGTGGCATGATTTCAGCTCACAGCAATTTAGCATTATGCAAATCTATTCCTGGGATGAGAAGAAAATAAAACCTCTTACCACTACAAAAAAAAAAAAAAAAAAAGAAAGAAAAGAAAGAAAAAAATACATGAAAGACGAAAGTAACACTGATTAATGCTATTCTTGTATAACCTAAAGATCCTTTGCATCTAGAGATGTGATCACTGTCACCTATTTAGTTTTTTTTTTTTTTTTTTTTTAACAGCAACCTAAGAAAGAGCTATTGTTTGCTAGAGGGACCCAGACAGGTTTTACCAATTTCAAATCATTGTTTTCCTTTAGGTAACCCCTCTTCCCTAACTGCCTCTCTATAACCTCCTCTATAAAAATGAATATTTTAACTGTTGTGAGTATTAGATTTTCAGGGCAATAAAATAAGTCATATAAAATACTTCTAAGAGAGACAGTATTGCCCTAAAGAAAAGGTACTTGAATAGAAGTTCTTCCCATTTTTATTAAGAGGTAAATTTTTTTATCTTTCTCTTAATGCTCACATTACACTAATTTGCCAATTTTAATTTTTTTAAAATAGCACCAAAATGAAATCCTTAAGAGGCATTAAAGATTA